TTGAGACAGAGTCTCACTCTGTTGCCCAGGCTAGAGTGAGTGCCGTGGCGTCAGCCTAGCTCACAGCAACCTCAGGCTCCTGGGCTCAAGCGATCCTCCTGCCTCAGCCTCCCAAGTAGCTGAGACCACAGGCATGTGCCACCATGCCCGGCTAATTTTTTTCTATATATATGTTAGTTGGCCAATTAATTTCTTTCTATTTATGGTAGAGACGGGGTCTTGCTCTTGCTCAGGCTGGTCTCGAACTCCTGACCTCAAGCAATCCGCCTGCCTCGGCCTCCCAGAGTGCTAGGATTACAGGCGTGAACCACCGCGCCCGGCCAGGGACGTGATTTTGATTCACTCATGTTGGTGCTTTTAGAGTCAAATGCACGGAGGTGTAATCTGCACACGGGGGAGGGGGAAGCCTTTCTGGTGTACAGTTCCCTGAGTCTTGGCAGACGCAGAGCTGTTGCCATGGAGTTCAGCCCCGCCCACTCCCAGCCTCTGGCACCGCCCCCTGATCTCCTCTCACTCCGTCCCTTCCAGGGCGTCCCGGGGTGGGTCTGCACAGCCCGGAACCTTCCTTCACGCAGCAGGTGCCCTCGAGGTTCACCCGGTCGACGCATTAGCAGTCGTCCCTTTTTGTCCTGCGTTTCATTTTTATTTATTTATTTATCTTGAGACAGAGTCTCACTTTGTTGCCCGGGCTAGAGTGAGTGCCGTGGTGTCAGCCTCCCTCACAGCAACCTCAATCTCCTGGGCTCAAGCGATCCTCCCGCCTTAGCCTCCCGAGTAGCTGGGACTACAGGCATCCACCACCATGCTCGGCTAGTTTTTTCTATATATTTTTAGTGGTCCAGCTAATTTCTTTCTATTTTTAGTAGAGATGGGGTCTTGCTCTTGCTCAGGCTGGTTTCAAACTCCAGACCTCGAGTGATCCTCTCGCCTCGGCCTCCCAGATTACAGATATATAGCCACCGCGCTAGATATATAGCCCACCGTGCCGGGCTGTGCATTTCAAACTTTCCGTGTGGCCTTGCCAACGAGCTGCACAAGTGGGACAGGGTTTCCACGTGTCCTGCACCCAGTTTTCCCCGTGTTGGCCTCACAGGGGGCCAAGAACACCACCAGGACCGAGAGCAGTCTCGTCGGTGTGACGCTGCCGGCGGTGTGCTGGCCACAGGTGCCCGTGGGCTCTGCGGTGGCCCCGTCATCCCCGCCGCCCTCCCCCTGCTGTCTGTCGGGGCAGCTCCTTGTCTCTCCCGACCTGGAGCCTTTTGAGGGGCGCTGAGCCGTTTCGTGGAGGGTCCTTCAGTCTGGGACCGTCTGGTGCTCTCCCGTCGGGCCGGGCCGTGCATTTGGGGCAGCGGCACCGCAGATGCGACAGGCCCTGCCCGTCGTGTCGGGTGACGCGTCCTATCGCGGGGGACGCGTCCTATCGCGGGTGACGTTAACTGTCGTCCTCGCAGTGGCGTCTGCTGGGCTTCTCGTGCGAAGGTCGTGCTTTTCTCTTTGTAGCGGACAGGTGTTTATTGGGGCGAGGACGCCATAGGGCTGTGTGGACATCCCGTCCTGCTCATGCTTGGCGCCTGTCGGCAGGCCCCGCCAGCAGGGCTACTCGCCTTGTTTCCCAGCGTGACTCTGCGCCCGCTTTCTTCCACGCCTGGTCACTGGCGTCTTCTGAGAGGAGGAGCTGGCCCTCCTCCCCACCGTTCCTCCTCCCCGCTGTTCCTTTACTCAGTTCCTTGTACCTGTGTGGACGCGGCCATGTGCTCTGCCCCTCCGTGTTCCCGCCTCGGCCTGTCCCCACCTTGCAAGCACAGCCGTGTCCCACTCCCCGTGCTCCCACCCCTGCAACTCTCCGTGCTCCCAGCCCCTGCTCCCCGTGCTCCCACCCCCCAACTCTCCATGCTCCCAGCCCCACTCTCTGTGCTCCCACCCCCACCTCCCCGTGCTCCCAGCCCCACTCTCTGTGCTCCCACCCCCACCTCCCCGTGCTCCCACCCCCACTCTCTGTGCTCCCACCCCCCACCTCTCCGTGCTCCCAGCCCCTGCTCCCCAAGCGCTCCTGCCCACTCTCTATGCTCCCACCCCTCACCTCTCCGTGCTCCCAGCCCCCGCTCCCCGTGCTCCCGCCCCCACTGTCTGTGCTCCCACCCCCACCTCTCCGTGCTCCCGCCCCCACTCTCAGTGCTTCCAGCCTCTGCTCCCCGTGCTCCCGCCCCCACTCTCAGTGCTCCCGTCCCCACCTCTCCGTGCTCCCAGCCCCTGCTCCCCGTGCTCCCATCCCCGCTCTCTGTGCTCCCAGCCCTTGCTCCCCATGTTCTTGCCCCAACTTTCTGTGCTCTCCATGCTCTCACCCCCGCTCTGTGCTCCCACCCTCGCTCCCCGTGCTCCACCCCGGCTCCAGTTCCCCTGCTGGCTCCACGGGGAGCGAGACCTACAGACCTCGGTCGGGGCACCAGGCGCGCCCTTGCTGTGGGGCTGCCGCCACCTCTGGACCACTTGGCCGTGGTCTGCATCGGTCGGGGCACCAGGCGCACCCTTGCTGTGGGGCTGCCGCCACCTCTGGACCCCTTGGCCGTGGTCTGCATCTTTCCGGAGTTGCTGGGTCGGCCTCTGCCGCCCCCGTGAGGCTGTGCCGTTCGGTTGTGACCTAGGCGGGTCCGTCTGTCACGGTCTGCGCCGCGTCCCGGGGCCCCGGCAGCCGGGTGAACGTTTCTCAGTATAGCGGAATTCCCTCTGCAGGTCGCAGCTCTGGGGGTTCCGACAGGCACGTGGCGTTGTGCGTCCAGCCCCCACGCTCCTTCTGGAACATTCCGTCAGCCTAAACGTGCAGTCTGTGGCGCTTTTGTGGTCGGCGCCGCCCCTCCCCCCATAGCCACTGAGCTCTGCCCGGCCGAGTGTCACCCCAGAGTCACATGGCACAACGCGCAGCCTGTGTGTCTGGCCCCTCCCTCAGCACACGCGTGTCGGGTGGTCTGGGTTGCCGGGCACGCGGACGCTGTGTTCGTTGCTGAGTGCGCGGCATTCCGCGGGATGGATGCCCTGTGGCGGCCGGTTCCTCGTTATAGCACGTCGGATTGTTTCGAGCTTTGGGTTACTTTATGTGTATGTTATTTATACACACGTATGTGTTACGCGTGTCATCACATGCTTCAGTGTCATGTGGACCACACCTCCCTCCAGACGCTGCTGCTCCCCAGGGGGGCTGCCCCGTCCCCCCGTCCCCCGTGAAGCCCCCGGCTGCTGTCTGGCCTGTCGCCTGGTCCCTCTGCCTGGGGGTGGGTTGGTGCACAGTTCGCATTCACAAACATGTGTTACGAGAGCGACCTGGAACCGCTGGGTCCCCAAGTTCTCGACGCCAGTGCGAGTGGGCGTGAGAGCGATTCTGGGGGGATCGTCTGGGGCCCCACAGGCCTGACGCCCCGACATACCCCCCCTCCCCGCAGACTACCCGTGGCGCTGGAGCCAGGCCATCCCCATGAACTCCGCGCTCATCAAGTGGCTGTACCTGCCGGACTTCTTCCGGGCCCCCAACTCCACAAACCTCTTCAGTGAGTGCCGGCTGGGCCGCCCTCGGGGGCAGCTGCAGGGCCACGAGGGGGGTGCCTTTCCCAGCACCTCCCAGCCAGGTCCACATCCTGTGTTCCCAGCCGGGGGCTTCCACGGCGGGCCCTTTCCCCCCAGGCATGTCCACGGGGGACTGAGGGGCCTGACTCCTGCGGGCCCACACACAGGACCTGACAGAGCCCCACGCCCTGCATACAGACCTGTGTTTGCTCACACGCTGACACCCGCATGCCCTGACACGCCAGCACACACACAGGCAGCCTGTGTACACAGAGCCGTGTCCCCAGACCCTGACCCCACATGCGCTGGTGCTGACGGGTGGACGTGCTCACCCAAGCTCCCAGGCACTGGCCGGCACATGCTCCATCCCCGGCAGCACACGCCACGCCCCGCCACGTGCACCATGCTGGGCTGCGGCGTGGTCATGTGTCCCGTGTCCTGCAGGTGACTTCGTGCTGCTGCTCTGCGCCTCCCAGCAGTGGCAGGTGTTTGCCGCCGAGCGCACGGAGGAGTGGCAGCGCATGGCCGGCGCCAACACGGACCACCTGGAGCCGCTGCGGGGGGAGCCCAACCCCGTGCCCAACTTCATCCACTGCAGGTGGGGCCCCGCCGCCCGCCCGCCCGCTGCCAGGGGGCCTTCGGGGAGGGGGTGGCAGGGGCAGCGCAGTCACAGCCCCGCCCGCAGGTCCTACCTCGATATGCTGAAGGTGGCCGTGTTCCGCTACCTGTTCTGGCTGGTGCTGGTGGTGGTGTTTGTCACGGGGGCCACGCGCATCAGCATCTTCGGGCTGGGCTACCTGCTGGCCTGCTTCTACCTGCTGCTGTTCGGCACCAGCCTGCTGCGGAAGGAAACGCAGGCGCAGCTGGTGCTGTGGGACTGCCTCATCCTCTACAACGTCACCGTCATCATCTCCAAGAACATGCTCTCGGTGAGCCGGGCCCGCCCCTCTCAGCTCAGGCCCCGCCCGCCATCCCCACCCCTCCTGCGCCACCGCCACCAAGAGGTGCCCGGCTGAGCCCTGCCCGCTCCCCGCAGCTCCTGTCCTGCGTGTTCGTGGAGCAGATGCAGACGAGCTTCTGCTGGGTCATCCAGCTCTTCAGCCTCGTGTGCACCGTCAAAGGCTACTACGACCGTGAGTGTGCGGCGGGGCGCGGGCTGTGCGGGGGACACCTGCCCACCTGGGCTGAGCCTGAGCCTGGCTGGCGCCTGTCCCACAGCCAAGGAGATGATGACGCGGGACCAGGACTGCGTGCTGCCCGTGGAGGAGGCCGGCATCATCTGGGACAGCATCTGCTTCTTCTTCCTGCTGCTGCAGCGCCGGGTGTTCCTCAGCCACTACTTCCTGCACGTCAGGGCCGACCTGCAGGCCACGGCCCTGCAGGCCTCCAGGTGGGCAGTGGGGGGCGCTGCTGGGCACGCCCCTGGCAGGAGGACAGAAGGGCTGAACACAGACCTGGCGGCACTGTCCCTGTGCTCCTGCCAAGCGGGATGCCGGCTCCGTCAGAGAAGCAGGGTGAGCCCTCGGCGGGTGGGCAGCAGACGGGAATGTGGCCTGGCTGGGTGGCGTTTCAGCCCCGAGGGTGTCCCCCCAGCTGGGGGGCCGTGGCAGTGTCTCAGCCTCCCCAGCAGAGGGCCCTCCGCCCCCGGGCTGAGCCCTGGCGCCAGGTGGGCAGGCATTGCACCTGCCAGCCTCTTGGTTCGGACAGTTCCTGCTGCGTGAGACAGAGGTGGCAGGAGGGTCTCTTCTCTCTCACCGCACACAACACGGAGGGGCAGGGTGTGGGGGGAGCGGCCGCCTGCCCCGTGGGCGCCCGTGTTGGTAGAGAGGTCAGGGCGGGCTCTCGGGAGGAGTCGGGGCTCAGCGCCCGGTCCGTGCCCGCCCTCCCCTGCAGAGGCTTCGCCCTCTACAACGCTGCCAGCCTCAAGAGCATCGACCTCCACCGCAAGGCAGAGGAGAAGTCCCTGGCCCAGCTCAAGCGACAGTACGTGCCCCCTGGGGTGGGGACGCCCGGGCTCTCCTGCTCCGCGTGCTGAGTCCCCTCCCCCTGCAGGATGGAGCGCATCCGCGCCAAGCAGGAGAAGCACCGGGCGGGCCACGGCCGCCCAGAGGAGCCCGGCCAGGAGCCAGGTGAGTGCGGACGGCGCCCGGAACCCCAGAGGGCCCCTGCGTCCAGCGTGTCTGTGCCCACTGGCGTCTGCCTGCGTCCGTGCCGTGCCGTGTCCCGGGGCTCCCGGCCCACCTGTCCTGTGCCACGTGGTCACCCTCTGTCCCGCGGGCCAGCGGCTGCCCCAAGACTGTCTGCACATGTGGGCTTTCTGCTCCCCCGGGGCTCTGAGCCCCACGGCCCCACGGCCCCGCTCACTTGGAGCTCTGAGTCCATCCGGTCCCCAAGGCGGTGGCTCTCCCGGCCTGTCCCCACACCCCACCGCTCACGCTCACCCTGCCCCTCCACAGGGCCTGGCAGTCCAGGGGGCTCCTCCCTGCCACGGAGACAGTGGTGGCGGCCCTGGCTGGACCACGCCACAGGTACCCCAATGACGAGCCTGCCACAGGCCCCCCTTCTCTTGGCTGCCATCCCAGCTTCCCTCCCTGCCCCCAGGCCCCGAGACCTGCCCCACGGGACCTGCTCAGCCCTGTCTGGGTGGGGGGAGCCTCTCTGGCCTCAGCACCTGCCCTTCTCCCTGCCTTCCCTGCGAGCCCGCTCTGAGTCACAGGCTAGTAACGGGCCGAGTGCCAACGTCACCTGGGCCCTGGCAGGGGGCTGGGCTTTTCCCCTGTGCTTCTGCGGCTCTTGGATTCCGTGGTCTGAGCGTTCGCTGGTAGTTTGCAGTCTGTCCTGTCTGCACCCCGTGTTGAGCTGCCTGTACGCCGTGCCTGCCCTCGCTCACTGTGCCTGCCCGCCACGCTGGCCTGTGTCCTGTGCATGTCCCGCCCTCCCCGGGCTCCTCCCCACGGGACGGGTGGCCCCCGGGCCTGGACCCTGCGGGTGGCGGGTGCCGAGGGGGCCTGTGCTGACAGCGCACCTGGGCCTGTTACTGTCCCCCCCCCCACCGTAAGAAACAGACCAAGTGGTCTTGCTGGGTGCTGGGGGGCCGCCCTGTGCGGGGGAGGCCGGCTCTCAGCCCCTCCCTGCCTGCAGTCATCCACTCCGGGGACTACTTCCTGTTCGAGTCGGACAGCGAGGAGGAGGAGGAGGCCCTGCCTGAGGACCCCAGGCCGTCGGCACAGAGCGCCTTCCAGGTGAGTGACGGCAGTGACCGTCTCGGCGGGCTGCCTGGACCAGGTGTCTGCCCCGCAGCCCCTCAGGGGCTCCCTCCTGGAGGTCCCCTGTGGGCACAGACAGCGGGGACCTGGGGCCAGGCCCGTCCCATCCCAGCTGGGCTCGTCCTCCTCTTCCCGGGGAGGCCCAAGTCCTAACCCTGAGGGCCGGGCCTGCAGATGGCGTACCAGGCGTGGGTGACCAACGCCCAGACGGTGCTGCGGCGGCGGCGGCGGGCCCAGCGGGAGCAGGAGCAGGAGCGGGCAGGGCAGCTGCGCCCCGGTGAGCTGGCGGGCGTGGGGGCTCCAGGGGGGAGCTGTAGGGCCCGAGACGCTGACCCCGACCCCTGTGCCCAGGCGGCGACCAGGAACTGGAGCCGGAGGAGGAGCCCGAGGAGGAGGTGGCAGGTGCGTGGGCCCCGGGGGCTAGGGGAGGTGGGGGGCGTCCCTGGCCCGCCGCACCCAGCTCCAGCACCCCTCGCGCTCCCTGCAGGCCGCAGCCACGTGCTGCAGCGGGTGCTGAGCACGGCGCAGTTCCTGTGGGTGCTGGGGCAGGCGCTGGTGGACGGGCTGACGCACTGGCTGCGCGACTTCACCAGGCACCACCGCACCATGAGCGACGTGCTGCTCGCGGAGCGCTACCTCCTCACGCGGCAGCTCCTCCCGGTGAGCCCCGCCCGGCCCTGCCCTGCCCACCCCTACGGTCCCCGGCGCTCCAGCCACACCAGCTGCTACTCAGCTGGGTCCCCGCCTGTGCCCCCGCCCCTGGCTGCACCACATTCGGGGACCCCCCGCTGCCCTGCAGGACGGAGGGGTGAGCCCGGACGTCTTGGACCAGCTGTACACGAGCGAGGCTGCGCTGCCAGGACCCTCGGAGGCCCAGCAGGCACCGAGCACGGCGTCCAGGTGGGCACCGGCCCCGGGGCTGGGGGTGAGCCAGGACCCTCCTGCCGCTGGCCCCCGAGCGCCAGGCCTGAGCTGTGGCCCCGCCTGGCCACCCCGCCTCACCATCCCCTTGTCCCCCAGAGCACCCTGGGCTCCTCCCTGCTCTGCCCGGAGCCCAGGTCCGGCTCTGACCCACGTCCCTCCGCAGCGGGCTGGGGGCGGAGGAGCAGCTGAGCAGCGTGACGGACGCCAGCAGCCCCCTGAGCACCGGCTACCACACGCGCAGCGGCAGCGAGGAGGCCGTCGCCGGCCCCGGGGAGGCCAAGGCTTCCCTGCGCGGCTCCCAGGAGCTCCCCGCCAGCCCTCGCGCCCGCACGGCCAGCGAGCTGCTGCTGCACAGGTGCGGCCGCGCTGGGCCCTGCGGGGGGAACGTGGCAGGGCTGCCCGGGAGCCGGCCCGGAGTCGGGAGCCCGCCCGTCCCCTCGGGGCCTCGTGTGGCTGCCGGGCCCCAGCTCCGCGGTCTCCCGCAGGTGCCTGCACATCCCGGAGCTGGAGGAGGCGGAGCGGTTCGCGGAGGGGCAGGGCCGGGCGCTGCGGCTGCTGCGGGCCGCCTACCAGTGCGTGGCCGCCCACTCGGAGCTGCTCTGCTACTTCGTCATCATCCTCAACCACATGGTCACGGCCTCCGCCAACTCCCTGGTGCTGCCCGTGCTGGTCTTCCTGTGGGCCATGCTGTCCATCCCGCGGCCCAGCAAGCGCTTCTGGATGACCGCCATCGTCTTCACCGAGGTGGGCGGGCGGCCGGGCGCGGGGCGGCCTCACCCCAACCCCTGCTCCCCCCGGCCCCCTGCTGAGCCCCCTCCCCACAGGTCACGGTGGTCACCAAGTACCTGTTCCAGTTCGGCTTCTTCCCCTGGAACAGCCACGCCGTGCGGCGGCGCTACGAGAACAAGCCCTACTTCCCGCCGCGCATCCTGGGGCTGGAGAAGACGGACGGCTACGTCCAGTGCGACCTGGTGCAGCTCATGGCCCTCTTCTTCCACCGCTCCCAGCTGCTGGTGGGCCGCGGCCGCGGCGGGTGGGCAGGGCCGGCCCGGCGCCCGCCGGCCTGCTGACCGCCCTCTCCCGCAGTGCTACGGCCTCTGGGACCACGAGGAGGACCCGCCGTCCAAGGGGAGCGACAGGACCGGCAGGAAGGAGCGGGGGGCTGAGGAGGGGCCCCAGGAGGGTCCAGAGGTCCCCGAGGCCCCCGCCGAGGACCACGTGCAGGTGGAAGTGAGGGGCGGGGCCGAGGACGGGGCCCCAGAGCCCCAGAGGGAGCAGAAGCCCCGCAGCATGCGGCACCTCAGTCTGCGTTTGAGGAGGAGGAAGAAGGAGAGCCCGGAGCCCGAAAGACCCGCAGCCGTCGGTATGGTAGCTCTGACCACAGCCCCCCCAGTGCTCCGCGTGGAGCTCCTGCCCCCCATGCTTGTGGGGAGGTGGGTGGGGAGGGCCTCTCCTTCAGATGACACTACCAGGCCCCCTGCAGGGCCTGCCCGGACCCCAGGATGGCCCTGCTGGCCTCCCAGGCACAGGGTGAGGTCTGTTGACCTGTGCCACCCCCAGAGGACACGGCCCCAGCTGCCAACGCCGGGAGGCTCCTGCTGGCCTCCTGGGGTGGGCAGGAGCCCTGGGCTGGCCTGAGTCCCCAGTGGGCTCAGGGAGCGGTGTCTTCTCCCCCACAGAAGCTGAGGAGGAGGAGGAGACGGAGGAGACAGAGGCTGCCTCGGGGAGACAGAAGCAGCCAAGCCGCGCCCGAGAAAGAGTGAGGGCAGCCGGGCTCCGGCTGCAGAGCTTCTGCCTGGCCCTGTGAGTCGCCGGGCCTGGGAGTGGCTGGGCCGGGGAGGGGGTAGACAGCAGGGGCAGGCGGCACCCAGCTGAGTCCACCCGCCCGCAGGGCCCAGAGCGTGTACCGGCCGCTGCGGCGTTTCTTCCACGACATTCTGCACACCAAGTACCGTGCGGCCACCGACGTCTACGCCCTCATGTTTCTGGCGGACGTGGTGGACTTCATCATCATCATCTTTGGCTTCTGGGCCTTTGGGGTGAGCCGGGTCGGGACCCCCCAGTGAGGGTGGAGTCCGGCGGCTGCGGCTCCCGCTGACCCACCTGTGCTCTGTGCTCTCCCGGCCACAGAAGCACTCGGCGGCCACGGACATCACGTCCTCCCTGTCGGACGACCAGGTGCCCGAGGCCTTCCTGGTCATGCTGCTGATCCAGTTCAGCACCATGGTGGTCGACCGCGCCCTCTACCTGCGCAAGACCGTGCTGGGCAAGCTGGCCTTCCAGGTGGTCCTGGTGCTGGCCATCCACCTCTGGATGTTCTTCATCCTGCCCGCCGTCACCGAGAGGTTGGCAGCGCCCCGGGGAGGTGCTGGGCGGGGGATCCCTGCTGTGTGGGCCGGACTGGGGGCCTCTGGCCTCCAGGAGCCTGGTCCCAGCGGGCCCTTGACCTGCCCGCCCCGTCCAGGATGTTCAGCCAGAACGCGGTGGCCCAGCTGTGGTACTTCGTCAAGTGCATCTACTTCGCGCTGTCCGCCTACCAGATCCGCTGCGGCTACCCCACCCGCATCCTCGGCAACTTCCTCACCAAGAAGTACAACCACCTCAACCTCTTCCTCTTCCAGGGGTGCGTGTGGGTCTGGCCTGGGGTCTTGGGGAGGGGGGCGCGGCCGAGCCCACGTGGGAGACGCCCTGACGGGAGCCGTGGGCAGGTTCCGGCTGGTGCCGTTCCTGGTGGAGCTGCGGGCGGTGATGGACTGGGTGTGGACGGACACCACGCTGTCGCTGTCCAGCTGGATGTGCGTGGAGGACATCTACGCCAACATCTTCATCATCAAGTGCAGCCGCGAGACCGAGAAGGTACCTGGGCCCGGGTGGGGGCGGGGTGGGCTGCCCCGCGAGAGCCAGGCCTGTGGGGGTCTGTCCCCAGGGGCCGCCAGGCCAGGGGGACTCGGTGCTGTCCAAGGCCTTTGCCCAACCCAAGGTCTCGAAGATTCGCCTCTTGTAGTTTTAGTTTTCACTCTCGGTCACGCGTGGGACCAGGGCCCCGGCTGTTGTGGCACCCGGCGTTGGGAAGACCAGCCCGCCCTTGTCTGAAGCCACTTGACCCTCACGTGAGGGTTCATGTCTGGGCCCTCGTCCTGTCCCCTAACGTCCGTCCTGACTGCGGCGGCTCTGCAGTCCACGTCGAGGCTGGGCTATGGGCGAGCCAGGCCAGAGCTGAGCAGGTGACCTGTCACATCCTGTTGTCACCCCCCCTTAGAAATACCCGCAGCCCAAGGGGCAGAAGAAGAAGAAGGTCGTCAAGTACGGCATGGGCGGCCTCATCATCCTCTTCCTCATCGCCATCATCTGGTTCCCGCTGCTCTTCATGTCGCTGGTGCGCTCCGTGGTCGGTGTCGTCAACCAGCCCATCGATGTCACCGTCACCCTCAAGCTGGGTGGCTACGAGGTGAGCAGCAGCAGGCCGCCTCGGCTCAGCCCCCGTCCACCGGGGGCTCCGGCATCACGGCACCGCCCTCCCGTTCTCGCGGACGCGGGTGGGCCCCGCACGGGTCCTGGCGGGCTCCCAGCCGCGTCACCTTGTCCCCACCCCAGCCGCTGTTCACCATGAGCGCGCAGCAGCCGTCCATCGTCCCCTTCACGGCCCAGGCCTACGAGGAGCTGTCCCGGAAGTTCGACCCCGACCCGGTGAGTGGCCCGTGGGGAGGGGACAGCTCGTGGGGGGAGAGGTGGCGGCGGCTGCACCCCGCTGACCAGGGCCACCGGCCCCCAGCTGGCCATGCAGTTCATCAGCCAGTACAGCCCCGAGGACATCGTCACGGCGCAGATCGAGGGCAGCTCCGGGACGCTGTGGCGCATCAGCCCCCCGAGCCGGGCGCAGATGAAGCGGGAGCTGTACAACGGCACTGCCAACATCACTCTGCGCTTCACCTGGAACTTCCAGAGGTGTGTCCCGCACCCGGGGCGGGGCCCGGGGCATGCGCCCTGCTCCGGCCCGTGGTTCACGCCGTGCCCCCCGCAGGGACCTGGCCAAGGGCGGCACCGTGGAGTACACCAACGAGAAGCACACGCTGGACCTGGCCCCCAACAGCCCCGAGCGGCTGCAGCTGGCCAGCCTGCTGGAGGGCACCTCGGCCCAGTCCGTGTGAGTGGGCTGGGGGCAGGGCCGCGCGGGGGCGGACAGGCGGGCGGGGCCTGACACCGGCTTTTCCCCACAGCGTCATCACCAAACTCTTTCCCAAGTACATCCGCGCCCCTGTCGGGCCTGAAGCCAACCCGGTGAAGCAGCTGCAGCCCGGTGAGTGTGGGGGTGGGGGGACCCTGGGGGGCAGGCCACACCCTGGGCCCCGGCCCCAACTGCCACCTGGCTCTGGCACAGGTGAGGAGGACGACTACCTGGGCGTGCGGCTGCAGCTGCGCAGGGAGCGCGTGGGCACGGGGGCCGCCGGCTTCCTCGAGTGGTGGGTCATCGAGCTGCAGGACTGCCAGGCCGACTGCAACCTGCTGCCCATGGTCATCTTCAGCGACAAGGTCAGCCCGCCGAGCCTCGGCTTCCTGGCCGGCTACGGGTGAGTGTGCAGCGCGGGGACGTTCTGCGGCGCGGAGTTGGGGGGCTCCCGGCACCCCAGGACTCACCCCCGCCCTGCCCCGCAGGATCATGGGGCTGTATGTGTCGATCGTGCTGGTCATCGGCAAGTTCGTGCGCGGCTTCTTCAGCGAGATCTCGCACTCCATCATGTTCGAGGAGCTGCCGTGCGTGGACCGCATCCTTAAGCTGTGCCAGGACATCTTCCTGGTGCGGGAGACCCGCGAGCTGGAGCTGGAGGAGGAGCTGTACGCCAAGCTCATCTTCCTGTACCGCTCGCCGGAGACCATGATCAAGTGGACCCGAGAGAAGGAGTAGGGGCCGGCGCCCCGGGACTAAGGGGCGGCGCCACACAGCGCGCAGCACTCCCGGGGCCGGGGCGCAGCTGTGACCTCTCCTCCTGGCCCACCTGAGCCGATGCTGCTGTCAGAAGGACGCTGAGTCCCCTTGCCCTCCCTTTGAGTACTGTAGAGTTTTCTAATTAAAAACATTTTTATTTATACAGACAAGCGCAGGGGGGCCCCCACCCTGCCTCCCCTGGGGCGAGTGCCTGCTGTGCCTTGTCTTGGGGGTTCGGTTTTCGGGGGCTTCCCGTTGGTTTTCCCGGTTCGGTTCTTCTTGGCCTTCTTGGGGGCCCGGGGTTTTGGGGGGAAGGCGGCCCGTTGGGACCGGGCCCTGGGAGCTCCCGCCCAGAAGGGGCTCCCGGGAGGGGCGCTGGTACCTCTGGCTGCGGAGCTGGGCCTCGGCCAGGATGTAGGGGGGCAGGGGCTCCAGGGAGGGCTGCAAAAGAGCCAGCATGGTGAGGGGCCGTGCAGCCATGGAACCCACTCCCCCATGAGCCTGACCCTGCCCGCTGTGAGGACACCCACTCACCAAGTCCTTCATGTTCACACGGCAGCCGTAGCACAGCTGCTCGATGACGCAGGCTCGGGGCTCCTCCCTGCAGAAGCAGAGCTGGCTGTGTGCCCCACCTCGGCCACTCAGGGCAGGGAGGACGTGGGACCCCCGCCTTCCGTGCAGCTGCCAGGGCAGGGACTCACCTCCCGCAGGCCGCCCTGCAGCAGTCCTGGGCCCTGCCCACCCCGGGAACGCAGCAGGGTGCCGGGGGGGCCCCGGCCTCAGGCAGGGCAGGGGCCGGCTGCGTCTGGAAGAGCTGCGACGAAGTCTGAGCCCCAAAGGCCGTGGCACTGTCTGTAAGGGGACAGAGGCTGAGGCGATCCTGGCGCTGCTGAACCCCACCTCCTCCTCCCCGGCTCCCCCCAGCCCCGGCACCCACCCGCAGCGTCGACGTCCAGCGTGCACATGCAGAGGAGGCAGCGGGGTCCAGCAGCACGGCCGTCCCTGGGCACCTTGGCCAGCTTCTCGCTCGTCCTGCGGCCAGTGGGGGCAGGTCACACACTCAGTGGAGCCTCGCTCCATCCCAGGCCCGAGCGCAGGTGGCGGCTCAGCCAGCCCCTCCCCTCGCACCTGTACACGGTGCTGACGGTGGAGGGGAACTGGGTCTGCAGCCGCAGGAGGAAGGCTTCCATCAGCCGGTGGATGCTGGCCTTCTCGGGGGCCTGGGAACGAGGAGAAGGGGCTGTGTGGGTCCATGTGGCGGCCAGGTGCTGGGTCTGCCCGTGTCAGGGCTGGAGGGGCGGTCTGATGACCACCCACCCACCCCCGCCACAGTCTGCCTGCAGGGGCATCACAACACCCCATCACCCTTCTCAGGGCCAGAGACCAGTCACCGGCTGCTTCTGGCCCCTGCAAGGCACACGGTGGGCTTAGTGGCCCACCCTGGGGGACGCTGCTACTGGCACTGACGGGACGTAGCCCCGTCACTGGCGACCTCTGAGACTGGCAGGGAGACCACTCCCACCGGCCCGCGCCCTCACCTTGGTGTCGATGGCCGGCGTGCAGACGGAAGGGACGGCGAACAGGCGGTTGTAGAAGGCGACTTCCTTCAGGGTGTGGTCCCGCATGGGCCGCACCAGCACCACGTCCCCGTGCCGCTCGTCGGAGAAGCCCTGGGGGAGGTGGGGCCCGTGTGGCTGAGGGCCGACTGCGCCCCCTTGCCCGCCACCCCCGCTCCGTGTGGGAGACCCCGGGACTGGAGGAGGAGGGCGGGGAGGCCTTCTGGGCCCCTGGGCGCCTGCGTACCGTGTCCCAGGCCAGGAAGGCCCCTCTCCCCAGCGCCAGGTTGGTCATGAGCTTGACGGCCAGGCGGGTGCAGCTCTCCCCGGTCATCACCTTGGAGTAGCCGTGGGCTCGGGCCACGTGCAGGATCAGGTGGGTCCTGCAGAGTAGACTGGCTCAGAGGCCTGTGGGGCTGGGACCCTAAGATGGGGTCCTTGGAGACGGTTGGGGAGGATGTCAGGGGCTGGCACTCACCGCAGGGTCTGCAGAAGCTCCTCCTTGGCCGTCAGCGTCTTCACCGAGTGGAACAGTCTGGACAGAGCCTCAGTCTGGGCAGCTGTGGGTGACCCTGCCGGGCCCGGGGGGTTCTGCACGTGGGGCTGGCACAGCTGCCCCTGCTCCTGGGCCGGGCTGGAGCCGTCCTGGGCGCCCTCAGCCTGAGGCACCTGCTGCTGCCGGAGGAAACTGTCCACGGCCGCCTTGTAGGCCCCCTCGGCCCCCGCCGGCTCCGGGACGGGGCAGCTCAGCACGGACGGCGGCAGGCCGAACACCTGGCGGGACGCGGGAGAGGGCGGTGAGGCCAGGGCCCACGCCTACCCTCGCAAACACACGAGGACACGGAGGCCCAGTGAGTGGCAGGCGTGCGCCCCCCCATGGACACCCAGCGGTCACCTCCAGGGACGGGCCGACTCACCTCCTCTAAGGCGACTAAGTGCCACGGGAATCCGACGGTTTGCAGGACCTGCTTCACTTGGGCCAGCGTCTTTGCCCTGTCCTCTGCACTCTGGCCACAGGCTGCTCCCTCTGAAAAACCGGCAGGATGAGGCAGCACATCCCGGCTTGTGGCAGAGGAGCTCAGGCGGGGGGACCAAGGGCCACCTCAGCAGGGAGAGGCCCTCTGAGGCTGGGCGGGGTGTGGTGGATGCTGTTTGCCTGGGGGGCTGTTTGCAGAGCGGGCGGGGCTCTCCCCTGTGGCCGTCCCACAGCAGCCAGGGTTGGGGAGGCGGCACGTGGCCCTGCATACCCTGCCACTGTCACCAAGACGCGCCCTTCTCAGTCCCCAGGCCCCATGGTGGGGGCTGCGTGCCACTCCCCGCTCCCCCCAGACCTCCTGACAATGGGCTGAGGCCCAGGAACAGCGGTGGTGTGTCTAACAGTGGACACATCCGTTGCCCACTTCAGAGAAATGTCCCCACCAGGGCCTCAATATGGGGACGGCACCAGCAGTTCTCAACAAATCCTAGCAGGGGGGCAGCAGGGCCCACCCCCGGCCACTGGGTTCTGGGGGGAGCGATGGCCACACGCACCGTCAATGTGGATGACTCCTGGCACGAAGCGCAGTCTTTTCGCAGAATCTTGACTCAGGCCCTGGGGGGGAGAGGTGTCAGAGACGTGGGCCCCAGCCACAAGCCATGGGACACTTTCCCGGCTGAGAACGTTTCTCATCGGGGTTTCGTGCCCTCCCCGAAGGTAAAGTGACCCCACTTAGTAGATAAGGCCATTGGGACCTGGTGCCAGGCAGGCATGGTTGCACAGCCTCACACACGGGGTCTTCACTCCCCCGGGGAAAAGCCCCCGTCTGCAGAAACTTCACAAGAAGCCCTCACCAGCCTGTCCCTGACGTCCCAGCGATGCCCCAAAAGAGGAAGCTGGGTCCACCGTGCCACCTACCCCGGCACCTCTGACCACTCCGAGCACACTCAGACACAGGAGTGGAGACAGTAACGTGCAGAGGGCAGTGCATGGCTGGGCACAGGAGGGCAGTGCATGGCTGGGCACAGGAGGGCAGTGCCAGGCGCTGGACAAGTAGTGGGGTGGAGGGCTACCTCACACACCGCCCAGGCAGGTGCAGGGGACCTTAAGGTGTGGGCAGAAAACCAGCCACAGACATGCCAGCCTGGGCCACCGACCCCTCCCTTCTCACCCTGCCTGCCCTCCCATGGCCACAGCCTCCTCCAGTTGACACCCGCCACTGAGTGTGGAGAGACCTGCCTTGGACATCCCAAGCTGGCCCCGGACATGCCAGGGCATAGCCCCACCCTCAGCCATGCCCCTGTGCAGCTTAAGTCAGTCCCCAGTCCTACTGTTGCTCCCCTGTTCCATCTGGCAACTCCCCTTCCATTTCCCCCTCAGGTCACGCTTGGCTGAGCTGCCACCACCATTTTCCGGTAACTACGGCTGCGCAGCCCAAGCAGATGGACAGCGCTAAACTGGGACACCAACAAGAGCCCCAAGACCCCCTTGCCCTGAAGCTCTGCCCAGCAGCCTGGACCTGGAGGGTGGTGCAGACCTACCTCGAGGACCTGCCAGACCATGGAGCTGGACGAAGGCCCCCCCGACCATGCCAGGAGCACCTGGGGGAGAAAAGCACTGAACACCACGTCTCCCGCACACGTGTATCCACCCCACCTCATGGATAGCCCCAGACAGCACGTCCACCCCTGAAGCCCAAGGAGGGGCTGCAGGGCTGTGGCACCCAGGCCACCCATGGGAGGGACAGCAGATGCCTCGAGCCTCAGGGCCAGGCTGCTCACTCAGTCAGAACCCAGGACTCAGACGTTACCTTCTCGCCCGGGAAGATGAGCCGGTTCTTCCCCAGCATGGCCCTGAACTTGTGGACATAAAAGGCCTTGAAACAATCCCTGCAACACAGACACTGAGATAAAGGAGCAGCTCTGCACCTGCACAGCCCGGAGCAGCTCTGTACCTCAGGGCCCTGAGGCCCTGCTGGGTTACATTTTTTTCCTTCTTGTAGCAATTTTCACCTTTAAAAGCAACATTATCACATTGAGGCTCTGGCCAGAGAGCTGCAAAGGGGACTGGGATTGAGGGGCTCTCCCAGTTGTGGTTCCCTAGGGCAAGTATGAGGCTCACTGGGGTCCCCCCAATAATCCCCACCATGCGTGAGGTGCATGGTGCGTGGGGGCCAGAGCCCAGGCACCACCTGCACCTGCTGGTGCTCAGAAAGGACCCAGCTGGCAGAGTGGACAGACTGAGCCACATGCAGGGCAAGGCAACCCCCGACCCCCATAAAAAATCGAGCTGATGACCTGCTCCCAAGCACCCCCTCCCTGGGGTGAAGTGGGGAGACGCTGAGAGGCCGCAGCAAGGACCCAGTGCCCTGGGGCTCCACACCTGGCTCCACGGTGAGCTGGGCCCACCTGGCTCAGAAGTAGCCATGAGGCTCACGCATAGGCACAGGCCTGGGCTTGGCCCCCCAACCCACAGAAGCACACCTCTGGACAGGGCTTGGTAAGCTGTGTTAATAAACATTCCAGCTGACTCTCGTCACCAGGTCCTCAGCTTTGTCTGCAGGTCAGGATCACATAGGCCAACTGAGTCAGAATTTAGGGGCGGGACCCAAGACTGCCTCAACGCTCCCCTGCAAACCTGGTGGGCAGAGTGGAGAGCCGGGCCTGGCACAGAGGGGAGCAATGTTGCCACAGGAGGTTACACTGCACCTGGCCCATGCCCTGGGTCCTGTCTTCCTGTCAGATACTGCAATCCCTGCCAATGGGCCACACACACACAAAGTCAACCAAACATCCCACGGGCAACTCCATGTGTAACAGCAAAACACTGGGTCCAGGGACTCCAGGTGGCCAGCAAGTGCCAACGGGGGAACAGGGAGGTGCCTCCCCAGGAAGTAGCTCAGGGTGTGGGGAGTCTCACCGAGAGGGGACACAGGTGCTGCACTTCACCTGCCCAGTGTGGGTGAGGATCACCTGCCGCTCCCTGTACTACCAGCTGGGATTCAAGCGTGGTTCGTGTGGACACATTGTGTCTAGACTCCTGAAACCTCGCTGTCCCAAGGCCAGATTTCCTGACACATGCCTGTTCTTAACAATCGCTGGGGAACCTCGCTCAAAACCTAGAATTCCGAAACCTCCACCCGGAGGGTTGGCTTCCCATCCATTCTCAGGCCCCAGCAGGCATGGCAGGGGAAACCTCTGAGCCTGAGAAGGGGCCCCGAAGGCCACAAGAGCCTGGCCAGGAGCCACCGCAGTCCCTCTCCTCAGTGAACTCTCCAGCAGACTGGAGCAGTCACTGTTTTCAGACGCTCTTGGGTGGTTAAAGCAGCGCCTGAGTTGCCCAAAATGCATTTCACGTGGCACATACCTCACCTTTCAACCCACCAGGCTCCCAAAAGATGGTCATGAACGAGAAAGTTTGTGGAAAACACTCTACTGAGTGTACCCCCTCCAACCTGTTTTGTTTTGGAACGTTTTAGAAAACAGAACCCCAGATTCTTGAGGACCAGTTTAAAAATGTGAGGTCATCACTCATTCAACAGACATATGCTATGCAAATAAAAGCACTCAACTTAGTCCTTAAGAGGACTAAGATGAGAGAAACTTGGCCTTGCCCTTGGGGAGCTATGGATCTAATGAAAACAACTGAACATTAAAATAAACCCCAAGGAAGACAGGACAGGGCCACAGAAATTATGGATAAATCGG